GGCTCGAGAGAAAGATCGTATCGATCTACAAATACACCAAAAGCTCGGTCAGAAACCCAGTTTAACTAATACCCGGACCGAGGAAGAAGGCCGCGAAAGTTACCCGACGAGATGCGAGCACGGGCTCGCTGAATCCGCGCTCTCGGAAATTGCTTGGGCCACCACTGATACTAGAACAGGGGCAGCCTGTCCCTCAGTTGGGGGAAGCCGGGAGGAAAAGCGCGAAGTGGAAGGGGGCGATCTGTAGGATAAAAGAGGGCGAGTTAGATACTAATCGAATAATCTAAAAGGTAAACGCAAAGACAAGATTCGTACTGACGTCAACGTTGCACCCAGATCATATTTCCCAATCCGGGTTTCCAAATGAAGCTCGATCGATCTTCACGAAGAAGTATCGAGCCTCCCAGTTCGCAGTCTTGTTTCCAGGGGAACATGGCAGGAAGACGTTCCTTAAACTGAGGTAAAACCGGCCGCTTCCAACCGGCCCGAACCTGTTGAACTTCGTCAGTTCTTCGAGGGTGTCGCAGCACACCCTTCGATTAACCTCGGTCACCAGGACCAGTACCCCCACCAAGTTGCGGATCGCTGCGATCGACAACTGTGATATGGGGATCCTACGTCGAGCACAGTATTCGACTAAGACCCTCGGGAGAGGAAACCACANCTTCCCCTCGTAGAAGTAGGATTCGAGCAGACACATGTGCCCTGGGGGAGGAGTCCAGGGACGATCTTGGGGTGATGGAAGAAGAAGTGTGACGTTCGCAGGAACGCCATGCGAAGACCGGAGAGCGNCAAGCGAGGCCGCGTCTGACCCAGTCGGCAGGTTATCCTTGCNNTGAAGAATAACCCTATCTCCAAGCCCGGGAACGTTAGAACGGTAGCCGTCACCCAGCTCAAACTGAGCAGTCTCGTACCCGGGGTCAGACGGGCCAGGAGTCAGGGCCAAGCTCTTTGTAGCTCGGGTCCCGCTGTCATCTTGAGGACGATTCGAGCTCGAGTGCAGGAGAGTAGTCGGCGCTGAAGCTCGCCTCGAGCTAGAAGTAGTCTCATCACGAGACGGACGAGACTGACGAGCTTTCCAGATCAGAGGAGCCGAATCCGTTGTGCGTCCGCTTGAAGATTCTTCATCTCGACGAGACGAGTACTGGAGACGCTCAGATTCGCCGGAGTGGGCCGAAATGGACTCCTCNCGCTCATTTGAGTNAGACNTGATTNCAAGTATAGAGAATCGAGATCGGAAGCTTGAGGAAGTGTTAAAAACAAGATCGGAAGAGCGCAAGATCGAGCAGCGAGAAAAGTATGGAGAAGTTAGAGAGAAGGCAGNGAGAGAAAGTACTTTCGCAAAAATCGGAAAAACGCAGAATNAAAAATAAANGGAGGAAGGGTTGTTTATATAGGCCGAGGTCGGGAAGACGAAGAGTCACCTCGACGCTCGCACCCCGCCCAACGACAGGCAATCAGAAGCGAGGAGGAGGCGGGCCGAATGTTTCGTGGGCCTTGAAACCGCATCGACGAGCCCAAAGCCTATCTACTCGCCAACTGGGGGGGCTACTGTTGGGCATGGGCTTCAAATATTGTCACCTTTAAAGCCCATTTCCGAAAAAAGCCCAGCAAACAGATTGCACCACCAAACTCGGCCCAGAAGAGAGAAGCGCGGCGAGCTCGGCCTAGAAGAGAGAAGCGCGACGAGCTCGGCCCAGAAGGAAGGAGTCCGACGAGCTCGCCCCAGTAACTGATGATTCAGGCCCAAAGTGAGCCCAACCGCCTCCTGTAGTGAATGAGATCAGCACTGGTCCCAAGGCAACCCTAGTACCTCATTCTCTCCACTTTTAGTATAAATAGGGGTCCCCATCCCATGNNTTNNANGANTACTTTTTTCCACTTTTGGGCAAGTACAAGGGAATTTGAGAGCGAAAAGCAATCATTCTCTAACACCAAAAGGGAAAGAATCTCCTGATCGAGCCCGATTGATCAGAAAGGACAAGAACAGCTCGTAAAAAGGCTGCGCAGAGTTCGTACTTATCACACCAGCGATCNGACCTCAAGTGCCCTTATCATCANGTTCNGACCTCNGATCCACNGACCTCGTCATTCAGTTATTCAGTCAGTTTAGATNTCTAACCCGATCTCGTTTTCAGTCACAGGTTCCGACCTTGAAAGCGACGATCTCATACCTTATTCCGATACTCAGAAAACCGAACACAAGGTTCGTCAGCNGATCTAAGNTTNCGAGCTCAATANACAATCTTTTCTAGCACGTACAATATCGTATGTTGTAGCCTGTTTCCGAGTTAATATCAATAAACGAGAATTTCCGATCCTCTTACTGTATATAAATTTATTGTCGAACTCATGGATCAACATTGTGGTGTGTTTTGAAAAATTTAAAGTATGCTTTTGTTAATTTTAATATTATTTTTAATCAAAAAAAGTTATGAAAATTTGTACGAACAAATTTTATGATAAGCACATTTTTATTCTGAAAATAAATGGTTTTGGTTACGCAAAATATTAGAAAAAAATAATTAAATAATTATTTTGTACTGCATGCTATTTTTTCATCAATCAAACATTGTTTCGTTCATTTTATTTCATACAAACTGCATTTATTTCGCAAATACATTTTTTTTCCGTATGATCTGCAGTTATACCATCCTGCTTTGCACAACTTTCTTACCCGTCCCGCTTAATTTTCCGATAATAATCGAAGATTAAAAACATAGCCGATAACATAACTAAGCACGGTTCAATTAACCGACAAAAAGGAAACGAAGATCTGACAGATTGTGGTCAGAAGAGCAAAGGTGATGCCACGTGTTTCTCTTTCGAATGCCCTTCCCTTCATCTAGGCGGGAAAATCAAAGAGGCAACACATCTCTTCTTTTTCGTTTCTCTCCTCTCTCTCAGTATCCAGAGACAACAACAAAGCCCGAAATCGAACCTGACCCGACTCAAACTATGTCGGCCTACGAGTATCCGAGGTTCTCTCGTTCCGACATTATCACGGTGCTCACCGAGGCTCAGATCGCTACCGTTACGGATTCCGATCTCAAAAACCCTACTCCCGACTTAGTCTCCGAGCTATACACCAGACTTCTTATCTACCTCGACGTCCTCAACGAGTATGGATTCCTCAAACCCTAGTTCTCTTAAGCTTTCTACTGATTTCACAATCGATTTTGGTATGCGCCTGATTCCAAGCTAGGTTATCGAATTTCTAAGTTATTGGGGCTTTTTGGTTGTATTTCAAAAACCCTAATTTCTTCTGTTTTCCCAATTCGGGGGAACTTTGATCTTGAGTTTCGAATTTCTGATTTTGCTTCATTTTTTTTCAATTGCTTTTTCGACATTTTGGGTCATTCGATTTCAAATCCACTGTAGAGAAGATAAAGGGCAAGTTGATTTTGAGGCTCTGGAGCAATTGGAGAATCCAGATCTTCATGCCACTTCAGTTCAGGCTATGAATCTTTATAGCAAAGTGAAAGATATGTTAGATATGGTGGACTGTCCGTTAAAGTTTACTTTCAAGGATCTGTTACGGCCAGAACCATCCCGCACCGAGTTTTTCTTCAGCGCACTTTTGAATTACGGTCTACACAAGTATGTCCCTTCTGGTTAAATCTTTTTTTCATGCCTCCTAGGTTCCTACTTCACTTAGAGTTGGAAAAAAAAAAAGAGGACAAATATTTAGAAGTTTGCAATGTGCACAAAGGAGAATTGAGAAAAAAAGTGGTTAGCTTTCAAGTTAAGGTTACAGAGTACTGCAAAAATACTCTTTCCCTGCAGATTCTGTGAGATCTTTATAGGCTGTCATGATTATTTACATCTTCTTTCCTGCACTAGAGATTCAAATATGGATTTCTGTATTTGATGCTCTCGTGATTATGTGCATCTTCTTTTTCGTACTAGACGTTCAAAAATGGATCTGATAAGTACAAAGGTAGAAGAGTTGAATTTCCTTGATGACCAGCGGAAGCAGTGGGAGGCGAAAATTTCACAGGTAATGCAAGGAAAATATGTTTCCCATAAAAGCTATTATCTTCTTTTTCTAAAGGCTATCCATGCAGTTGAATGCAGAGATTGCAGAATTTGATGAAGCCTGTGAAAGGAATTTACCTTTTGTCCAAGAGCTAGAGGCAAATATCGAAGAACTCAGTCAGAAAATATCAGGACTGAATAATCAGCAGGCGTCACTGCTCGTAACCTACAAGAAAATGAAAGACAAGAGGATGCAAATGGATAACGAGGTAAGAAACCGCATGATATGGCTTCGAGAACTCCTTCCTGAAACTAAATTTGGTTATGTGATTTAATTGATTTAGAAATTTGAAGTTACCTTGATTATGTTGGCGATAAAACAACCTCCCTTTTTTTAACTATGCGATTTGCATATGCTTCAATCTGAGAGGCGTTTTCTGCTCCTGACATTTTTATTTCTCTCTACAGATTTCCAAAGCAGAGTTTGACCTTGTGCAAACTGTTCAAGAAAATGCAAACCTCCGCTCCCAAATTGTTCAATCTCCAGACAAATTGCAGGTATATTTTTTGTTCCTACTAGCACCAGTTCTTAGATAACAACTTGTGTATACAACACTAGATCAAATGTTTGTTGTGGGGACAGGGATCCCTAGAAGAGAAGAAACTAGTGCTCGGGGAGACAAAGAAAGCTGAACAAGCAGCAATGGAAACTTTCCAGGAAAAGGCTGCCATTCTTGAGGTTTATGAAAAGGTATCTAATGAAAACTCTGGGCTATTACTAAAATCCTATTGGTCGGCACCGTAACTAAATGCATCGATGACATCCTTTGCAACTTGTTGGTTAACTGTTGGAAATTTCCTAGTCTTCAGTCACTGTGGATACTGCTCTCAAACGATTTGGTTAGAGTTATAGGATTTCAAAACATCAATATTCTTCTAAGTTTGTGCTTATTGCTCTAACCCGCTGTCACGTTTGTTCATACTCCACAAAATTCTGTCCCGGAGCTTTAGGAAGAACTTCATTTACTTTGGTGTATAGTGGATGAGAGTGAATCCAAGGTGGTCATTATTTAGATTGAGACCTTATTATATCTGTTAATTCAGAACTCTGTTTTATTTGTCGTACAACAGTTTTATGCTTTTACTTTTCGAGCTTAATAGGTGTACCAGCAATGTTTTGCTTTCTCACTGTGGTAATAAAATTGATTCTATCTATTGGTGCCTTTTGCAGGCATTCAAGAAAATGTCAAAGTCATCTTCGCAACTGCAGTTAATTAACGAACAGGTGACCAAGATAAAATAAATCCTTTCCTCTTTCATTTCCTATAGATTATGTGAACCATGCATTGCATCTCTAGCATGTGGCAAGTCACAGACCCTTAGAATTTATCTAAATGACATGTGAAGTGTGTTTGGATTTATCTTACTTTTTTATGTGTGTGTGATGATGTTACAGGTAGCCAATACGAAATCAATTGAGAAAGATTTCAAAGCTCTGAAAGCTAAGCTGAGTGAGGATGGGGCAGCGTACAAATCACTTGAGGCGAAAGTGGTTGAGCGGGAAAGAGTAGGCAAGTCTTAATTTATTTCTTCCCACTTTCGGTATTGTTTCTCAATTTTGTTCTTGGTACGGAGGCTGTAATTTTCTGTTCTTTCAACAGCGGAACAGTTGCGCGAATCATTGAAGCAGTTAGAGAAAGAAAAAATAGTCATGATTGATGGTTGGAAGAAACAATTGAATGAATTGAAACTTGAAGTTGAATCTAAAAGACGTCATCTTGAAGCCAGGCAAACAGATGTTGAATCAGTAGTAGCTATGGTAATTGCCACTTGCTTTTGAACATTTAACATTATGAATCCGTTGTGCACAATGATTTATCATTTCCGTTTATATATTTACAGGTTGATGCCAATACTTCCAAGACTAACCAGGTGAAACAGTCAGGAGAAGTTAAAGTGAAACAATTAGCTGCTAAATATGAAGAGATCGTGCAGCAGGTTCGTTCCCATTTCCATTTTTGTCATCTGTCTCTCATGCTGCATCAAATGAAATCACTTGAATTGCACTGTGAATACTCTGAAAGATAAGGCAGATCAGGGTAATGACTGATTATGCTGTGAAATAGTTAGGCCCTATTGTATATCGAAAATCATGAAAATGGGAGGTTAAATTATGCCAATACTCCGATGATGTGAACTTTGGAGAAACAGGCCAATTTCTCGAAAGTATTTAAACATGGAAACTAAAAAGTATTTTTGCTGCAACAGGTTAAAGAGGTTTCCAAAGTTAAAACTTAAAACCGTACTAGGCTTCTTCTAGATTCTTTTGAAGACAGATCTGTTAAGCCTATGTCTTTGATGTTTGCAGTTTCACGAATACACTGTGTCGTTTGGAGAGATTCTGCCAAGCTTCTAATGTAGAAGGCAGGTTTTGACTGGAGCTAAGTGAAGGTAGAGAGAGGTTGTAAAAAGGTTATGTACATTTCTCTACAAATGGTTAAAGAAGTGATTAATATAACCTACGAACACGAAGCACACTTCCTTCTGTGATTTGTTTTAACCTATGAATTTGATCCTTTTTGAGTTTTATTTGGGTTTTATCTCTAGATTTCTTGAAAACAAACTGATTGAGAAAATTGGCTCATATAATACTTTCTTAGAGAAGCATTGTGTTTTTGGCACTTTGTGAAAAATGGTGTCATTTTGACACTTTAGAGTACTATTCATCACATTTTTACCTTCATCCACTCAATATATTACGATTGTGCCATTCTTTTTCTTCTTCTGAACATTA